GAAAATGGAGTCGAGATAGTTGGAGATCAGTTCGGTGGGGCAGGAGCAGGTGGAGACAATGGGTCGACCAGGGCATTCAGGTTTGTGGCGGAGACAATGGGTCGACCAGGGCATTGAGGTTTGTGGCGGAGACAGTTCCTTTTTCTTCTTTTTTCTTTCTTCTTTTTTCTTTTATGGGACGTGGACATGGCTGGTAAGGACAGAATTGGTTGCCCATCCCTAATGACTCTTGGACTGAGTGGATTGATAGGCCGTTGCAGGAGGCAGTTAAGAATCAGCCATATTTCTGAAAGTCTGGATTCACACGTCGGCTAGGCCAGATTTCTTTCTTCAAAGGACAGTAATCAACCAAAATGATCCTTCTGACATTTGATGTTCATTGTTATGATTGCCATTACTGAGAGGAACTTTAAAAGCCAGATTATTAATTAATTAATTTAAATTTCACCAGCTTCCGTGAATGGATTTGAACCCATGTTCCAGAGTATTAACTTGATCGCCTGGTTTCTCATCTAGTGACATTACCTCTTCACCACCATTGCTGAGCAGAGCTCAGAGGGATCTGAAAATGTACAACTTTTGGTGAAAATCATATCTGCAAAACTTGGCTGGAAGAAAACTCCCAATGTATGGGATTTAGCGGTGGAAGCCACAAAGAAAAGGTGGTGGAATTTTACTGGAAGAAGTTCAGAGCTTTCATAGACTTTTGATTGCAATTTTTGCCATATATGCTAAGTTGATTGTCCAGTAAACCCATGAGATCTACCCTTATTGAATCTGCTATTTAAAGTTTATTTGATATCGACTGCAATTCACTTGCCAATTCATGTATAATTTATATCAGATTTGGTTTGATTCTTAAAGTCTGTCAGCCTGTCCTTCATCATGTCCTTGATTCGGAGGGTTGGGTCATCGATTTCCATTGGATTGGACCAAGCTTGTGGGTAACTGCAGAATGGCGGAGTAAGAGATTCTATCACTCTTAGGATTTACATGCTGACAATTAACCTGTTTGGGGACTAGGTTTTGAATGAGCCATCCATGCCCAGCATGTCCTGAAGTGGGGCTCCAATCCAGAGATTCTGGCCCTGAGATACAGATGTTACTACTGCACCACAAAGCTTTCTGCAGTTGTTCAAGTAAAAGTTAAGAAAAGTGGTTTCTCGCTGAGGTTGTTTGACAAATATACCTTCATTTATTAGTCTCGTTGGATATCACAACTACAGCAGAGCCTAAATAGTACCCACTGATACTACTTGATATTTATGTCAAAATATTTCTTTTGCACAATAAAATAAACGCAGTTGGATAATATTTGATGTTCAATTATGTTATTGATGTATGAGTTTAAAACTAATCAAACCTGAAAATTGATATTTCACACATAGAAGCAATGTCTGAAAACACCAGCACTTGTTAATTAGAACTCCTGTAGCACAGTTTCCTTCTGAAGAAATATTATGTTTATTCTTTTCGATGACGTTCCGACGCAGTTGGTAAAAAAATTAAAAAGCAAGAACCTTGACTGGTAAATGTGAACCGTTTCCCTTGTATTGGGAAGTACTTACTGACAGGTTTCTCTTGTGATAAAGTCAGTGAGTGCTAATTGCAATCTTGATATCAAGACTGATCTTTAGATTACTTCCCTAGCAGTCCATTACTTTACCCAATGCAGAAGTTTGAAAGCAGATGGACAAAGAAAAATTATAAAGGGAAAAATAAAACAATCAAAAATATTGAAAAGGTGAAAAGATGTTTTGGAGACACTTTGAAGGCTGGCGAGACAAAGGCTTTCTACCAATAATCTCCCTAACACAAAACACAAATATTTGATTATGTTCTATTCCATCTTTCAGGTATCAGATTTCCTGATGTATATCAAACATGTTAAAGTGTCTCTGTTTCAGAGCTGAAATGAGCTGTTGACAGAGGGGGAGGAGGAGCAATAGGACAGATATGTCATCTGCATTTTGTTTTTGTAATTCCTGAAGTCCACCAGCCATTGTAAGGGGCTCAGTGAGCAGAAACACTTACAAGTAGGAACAGTCCATTCAGACATTCTCCTTCCACTGTTCAATATGGACAAGGTTGATCTACTACCCTGACTCCTCCTTCTTTCTGTTTTCTTTTCAGTTGATATTTTCTGTCGTTCTAAGAAAGCAACTTAAAAATCAATGTCCAAATTGTGCAATCAGATTTGATAAAGTCAATAAGATATTTACCCATTTTTTTTCATTTCAAATTTCTAGACTGAACAAATTATATTTATAAACCCATGTAGGTAGTATTTCTTAAAATAAACAGTCATGTATACACTTCATATTATGAGGTGTTTGCTCTTCCATCCAGCAGAAGAGACAAAAGTTTGAAAACACATACCAACAAATCCAAGAACACCTTCTTCCCCACTGTTATCAGACTTATAACAGATCTCTCATATATTAGAGTTGGTCTTTGTCTGCACCTTCTCTGTAGCGGTAACACTATATTCTGCATTCTGTTCTATTACCCTGATGTGCTTATGTACACTATGATTTGTCTGGTTAGAATGCAAAACAATACTTTTCACTGTCTCTAGGTACATGTGACAATAATAAATCAAATCACATCTGATTACATGATAAGTATCACTAGTTCTGAAAGTCAACTAGAGGACTTGTCTTTAGCTAACTTGCTCCAATGTTTTAAATAATGCAGTTATATTGGATGTATTGACATAATTGAAAGACAGTCTGATAGCCCTCCTTTTCTGAAGGTGTAAAAACCATGTTATTATGTTAAAAAATATTTTTTTCCTGAACTGAAGACACAAAACGTTATGATCTGGCCCATTAAAATGGTTAATGGGTGTTGATTAAGTTTAGGTACAATTCACTATCCATTATCCATGAAAAAGGTTTTAATGCTGGTCAGATTGTATATTTAGCCTAAAACTAATGACAAAGCCAAATTTATTAAATAAGGGGCTTGCATTTCACTTGGTACGTTTAATCATTCGCCTGATCTACATGCCCTGTCAGAATTGGTGTTCTGTACTGATAACAACATAGCTGTTGCAATAAGAAGGACAAACCCCACTCTCCACAGTATTCCCAAGAAACTTACTTCATCACTGATGAAAATGTTTCCCACAAAGTGCAGGCATGTCTAAGTGCACTCACAGCCATTTGTTGAGTCCTACGGATGTTGCCTTTTGTTCCATAATGAAACCATCCAACTCGCTCCAGCTACTGTATGGCTACTTCCTTCACACTTACTCTGCCTCATATCATTTCACTTAAGCCATTATTATCTACAATCAATACAATATGAGATACAGTAATTTATTCCCTCAGAGAATTGTTCAAAATAAGAGTTATCGCTGCACAAGCACTTTCATGAAGCCTGTTAGTGGCTATTGACTGCAGCAAGTGCAGCATGTTGTTTTGCATCCTAAATCTATGAATCTTTCTTTGTTGTCAAGCTGGTATCAATAACCATAAGCATACATTATAAAGGGAAATATACAATTCACCACATGAAAGTAGACATGTTTTTCAGCCTGTCAATACATTGTCATTAGGAAATTTAAAAATTAATCGCCTGAATTTTGCTAGCAGGAGCAAACGGATGACCCTCAGGCTGACCTCAAAGAAAGCTGTCTCCAAAATTCTGGCAATCTCATCTCACAAATTGCACTGTTCCTGACCATGATGTGAACCTATCACCGAAGCAAGGGAATTTCCAGACATTCAGCAATACTGGTGCTATCAAACAAGTAAACAACCAATTATGTCAAAATATTCTCACAGACAGCAAGCCAGGAAATAAAATACATTGATCATCCTTTTACCTTCAACAAGTATAATCGAGCAAACTAAATGACTGAGACATACATATTAGAAGCTGAAATATCAAACTTTAAATGAGATAGTATTGAAAAAAAACTTTAGGGCATTTTCAATTTTGCTGAGTATGATGCATGGAGCACCATGACTCAGAATGACTTTTCTCACTCAATCTTTGGCTCTTCATCTCATTAATTATTTGACCTGTCTCTGGGCACCTTTGTTGGGAAACCGCCCAACTGGAAACATAACACTACTCACTAACCACTCGTGGCACCTTCCAACTTTCACATTGGCGGAGTCATATTTCAAGTCCAAGTATCAAGCTATTTTGACACTGCAAGCCAGCAACTGTTCCTCTCACTGTGCTCATCAGCTTTTATCACAGAGGACATGGCCCAGGAGCAAGGAAAGTTTCTTCCTGCTTCATGGACAGGGACCTGAAGGTTCAGTGCATGGGGTGGTGGTGAAGAGAACAGTCCTTTTTCCAGCTCACCACCACACAACCGGTCAAAACTAGCCTGGAGACACATTGCAGCGTGGGTTAATGCTGTGTTCTGGTGAAAAGGTTCGTCAGCAGAACAAGGGAAGACTGATGAACTTCTGAACTTCACGAGGGTAAGTGCCACAACCTTCTCGCTGAAGCCACACTCTCAAAGGGCCACCACTCACTCTAACTCTATCACTGCACAAGCTACTAACCAAGGCTCTTGGACAATAACTTACTATTGCATGCACTGTATCACTTAACAACTCTCACCCACCACATACTCCCAAACTACTGACCCTTCCTGCCCTCTGCACCTCATACTCACTCGCTAAAGACACCCTATCACCTCTCCTGCTCATGCGTAACCATTAATTGCTCTTCCATCCACTTCACATGTAATCCCTTCCTTTGTCTCATTGCAGGGAGAACTGACCCAGCCCATGTCTCCCTGATCTACTTGTAATCCTCAGACTGATTGCTCTTGGCCTGCAGGGCTGGCCCAGTCCCAAGGACACAAGGGCACAGGTCCCCAGGAATAACCACCTGATTGACCATGGTCAACTGCTGGACTGGAATTAGACAAGCCTCTTCATTGAACATGGCTGTACCTGTGACTGACTATAGTCCCCCTTCAGCTTGTGAGGGACTGTTACCCTTAAACTTTCTCATATGGCCATTTGCTTGAAACACATGCAGAGTTTTTGCCGCTGTAGGTGCTGCAGGTTGATGTTGGCATAGCATGGCACCAAATAATGCCAGGCCCACCTCTTGACTATTCAATACTCCTCACCAGGATCAGCTATCTGCCTCTCCGTCACTGTTAAGATAGCAATGTAAGCTATACAGTGTTGGCAGCCTGTCAATCAGTGTTGAAGGCAGTGAGTGAGCAACGAAGAAAACAAGCTGAATCCCATAAAACACATCCTGAGTGGATGCATGAGATACAGATCTGTCCTGCATGCAAAGCAACCTGGCAGAAATATCAAATCAATGGTGTCCCTGAGCTCCACAGTAACATGTTGGAGGCCTGAAAGTGGAGTCTGTATTGGTGTGAGAGCAGACAAGAGTTGACAAATGATTGAGTATGACGATGGCTGAAGAGCCGGCAGGGATGTTGTTGTGACGAAGTAGCTACACGCTAGATGGAACAACCAATCGATGAGCTACAAATGCCAGGAATTCACTCGGATTTCATGCCAGGACTTTGCACTGCTGAGCGAGGAGGAAGAGAATTGGAAGTGGGATACAAGATACGTTGGGGTATAAATGAGATACAAATGCATAGAGAGAAGGTAGTCGCTGGTCAATGGTAAGAATCTAAAGGCATTATTTAATACTTGAGGGCAAAATCGGAAAACAAATTCTCGGGATTAAGATTCTCTTTGCATTTTTCTACTTCTTTCACTACTGATCATGTCACACCAGGGAAAGGAAAATTCCACTCTTAGAATTTTCATCAGAATGGAAAATGTTGGCGTAACAAAAATATAAAT